AAATGGAGGTTTTATTGCAGAAGGAATCATTTCTTCAATGAAGAAAAGAGAAACTACAGGCACATAGCTAAAGGGGGTGCCCTTGACGCCCTCCCGCTTCAGCACTACCTATACTTAAAAAAAGTCCTAAATAATTTTCAATAGATAAGACTTACGTTTTATTAAAATACTGCTTTCCCGCTTCCCAAAACAATCATGTGATTAACAAAGAATGACCAAAAAGTCTACTGTTTTCCATTTAGAAGTAAGATCAGGAAAAGTCATTCTTCCTCAGCAAACAAGTGGAGGGAAAATACTTCGAAGGTTAGGTGATACTTTCAAGTCGTAAAGCTTTTGTTCTGAATAACCCTCCGTATCAGGTCCAGCTTTCACTCTAGCTATCAAGCTTAATGTCACTAAAGAAGAAAAAGGCCCTTTTGTTTCAGACCAAGTATCTAAAAGCATAATGGTTAAAGAAAATAAGCATAAAAGGAAAAAAATAAGCTGTAGTATTTAATTTTGAGATTTGCTACTTATTATCTAAATATTGCACAAAATAGGGAAGAAAAAACGGTAAAATAATTTTGAGTGATTATTTTTGCATTAATTTCGAATTTCAGTTAAGTCAACATATATAGCAAAAATATTAAACTTTTTTTGGAATAATATAGAAAGCATGTGAACTTCAATGCTTTCAATACAATGAATTTTATTTCCTTTGTCATCTAGCAATTTAAAGGCCCACCAGCGGCCGAGCGGTAAAGACGCTGAACACTGGTAGTTCGGTGCGAGGTTCGAATCCCGTGAACGGGCTGGCTGCATGGGCGTTTTCGTGGTTTTCCCCATGTGTAACGTGTATACGAGCCAGTTTCCCTTAGAAAGTCCTCCACGAAGGCATCCTCCGTTTAGGCAGATAGCCCTCATGTGCTTTGCCATAATTGAATAATCCTAATCCTTGTTATTTAAAATGATTTAATAGGTTGTTAAATATGCAGATAGTCCATTCACTGACAAGTAATTTATTTTATTTTATTACTATCCCAAAGGGGAAAATTCCCCAGAAGGGATATTAATTTCTTTTTCGCATTTTGTATTGTTCACTATAAACGACATTTCACTTTTCAAATTTTGCCACCAAATCTTAGAATTACATTTAATGAAATTAAATAAAGAAGAATCTGCATGAATGTATGTATGTTTCTCTCACTATGAAAAAACAGCAGTACCTAGAGACATCAAATTTTGAATAATGTAGTCTTTCTCTCGAATATGAGCATCTTGAAGCCCAAATTTGGAGTTTGGAATTTGTTATCTATCTTATTATCTACCTCATATTTTGTAAATTGTGAACCAATTTTTGATTAACAAACTCAACAATCCCAAAGCAGCAGTGGTAACATTGTACGAAAAAATATATTTATCTCTAGCGTGCAAGAACTATATATCGGAAATTCTAAAGATACACTTTTTTTAAATTTATTTTGTGACATTCAGAGCGATTCGACGCAAAGTCACCAAACGAAAGCAATAGTCCCTCTGGGACAAAGCCCCTTTGGACTAATAATAAATATTGTTGCTGTATTAATTAAACAGCAATTAAAAATAACAGACTATACTGCACCAATAGTTATATTTTTACAACTTATAAAACTAATTAGGCTACTTAATCCTGCTTTCAATAAAGCAGCTAACACGTGCCATCTTTGCTAATGATCAGGCATTTTCTAATATGATAATGAAGGTATTTTTTAATACTTCATAACGATTAGGCCATCAATATTCTATAAAATAACTAGTTATATTGCAAAATCCAATAATTTTATATACTTTATCTGATTCATTCAGGTAATTCATGAAATAAGTTATTTTATAAAACAGCGAATTCCAGGCCTTTAACAGCAACATAAATAAGGGACTAAATCTAGCTGAGAACGAACTGTTAGTTTCGTTCTCAGCTAGGATGGGGACAGATGAAATCGTTTAATTCGACAGATGGTAATCATTAAAACGTTAGAGCAGAAGAATTGTTTCTCCATTAATTTTTTTCTTCCAGGTGACCTACCCTGAAACTGGATCACTTTCCAGAACAATGCAAAACAAAGTGTGGGAGAAATGGAAGAAATTAGATCTTCCCAGAGGCATCTTAAAAAAAAAAACCTCTTTTCTAAGTGACCTTGGTAAGATGCAGCTAGCTCAGCGTCTTACACTTAACACTCCCTGAATACGGCGCACTATAACCCTCCTGATTAAATGAAAATTTGGCTGTTTTCCCAAACTCAGATTGGCGATATTATCTGGCGAGATTTTAGAGTTCCTTTTTTTCCGTTCCTTATTTTCCATTTCCTTTTTTTCCGAGTGACATTTTTTCTGCACACCTTTTTAAAACATGTTGATACTTGAAAAGTGTTTGCAGCATAGGAAATACTGCTATTATTTGTACATCCTGCCCTCACAATAACATGTTACGCCAACTGAGAATTTTGTGTAAAAGTAATTTATTAATTGGTTTTAGGGACAATACAGCCATGCAAGACCAAGAAATGCTTTGTTGTAGCAGTGGAAGCAGAAATGCTTTGTTGTGCATAATCGGAAAACTATTATGCTTTTCGAGTAAATTGTTGAACTCACTGAGGACGACTTAATTATTTTTTCAGACTGCTGGTAAGACTAGAAACTTAAATAAGAGGAAGCTGAATTTCAACATATGAAAACAATTCATTACCATAACTTTGTTGATCCAGAAATCAAACAATACACATAGACCATAGAAAGACTCTGGAGATCCACGAAATACATTGACAGACCACATTAGAACTCATATCCCATAGAATTTATGTGGCAAGGCATTGCAGGAGCGCTAAGCACAGAAACATTTTCCTTTTGATTGAAAATTTAAAAAAATAATAATTAATGTATGAAAAGTACTGTTTTCCGCGTAACTGCTTTACATCTGCAAAATAGAAAAATATTATGTACAGGCTATCTGTCGCTTATCCTCAAAATTGTTTTGTAATTAAACATATTTAGAATATTGCATTTCTCCTACGATAAATTACACATAAAAATTTAAGAAGGTTTTATATATATAAATATGCATGTTTATAGTATAAAGAGTACTACAGTGCAATGCAGAAATATTCCATACCGCTTTGCACAGAAATATGTGAAACCAAGTATTCGTCTTTCCAAAAAAATATCTCTAGACCATTTAGTTCTTTTTCTTATTTTACCTTCTTTCGTTGCCTCTTCGCTCATAAGAAGGGAAGATAAAATAGCATTCTGTTGAGCCAGTAAAACTTTGTGGTGAGCTGAAAAAGCCATGACACAAAATAATGAAAACAAGCAGAGCGAACGCAGGAAATCAATCAAGCGAGAAAACAGCGCACGAAAGGTGTAAACATCCATGCATGCATGCGCAAATTTAGCTTCTCTCATTGGCCACAGCTTAGACCCGTCTCACAGGTGTGAACGAAACTCCTATATTTTATGCCCTTTATGCCGCTGTCTGAACGCAGCTTAATATTCAAATTCAAGCCACTGTAAGAACGGTGAAATATATTACGTTAGAGTAGATTTAAGGATACCCCTTGGATTATCGATAAGTTGCTGTTTCATTTATCGCCAAGTTATTGTTTCATTATGGTAACCTGAGTAGTTGAATGTTATGGAAACCCTATTATGATGAAATTGGTTGCGTGATTGCGGTCAATTTGAACCATGGGAAAAGATTTGGAAAGTATGTGTTGGATTTTACATTGTTATTTTGGGATTTACACGGTAAAACTGCTAAATGTAGTTAAGATTAATTTGAAGTTTCTGTACGAGTTAGAACGAAAGGGAAAAAAGCATTAATTGACTGGTGTTAAATGAAGGTTTACTTATTAGGTTAGCCATTATTAAGTGTCCTGTTTGTAGGAAGGAATTGTGTATGGTCGAACATCGGAAGATACCGGAGCTGTGAAGGATATTTGGTCTAATCCTAGTATCCGGTGCACACGGGATTTGGCTACTTTTTGGCGACTTTATGATGAGCAGTAAATACGAGGCATTTACGATGAGTAGTTAACAGGTCATTAAAAGAAAATATACAGTTAAATATAGTATATAGTATGTATATAGTATATATACTATGTGTGTATAATATATATATAGACGTTCTTTGGATCATTTTTGGTTTGGCAATAATTTTCAAAGTCGCGCCAAGGCTGCACCGTATACTAGGATTTTACCGGATAGTTTTTACTCTTATTTTTGTGAATTTATGTGGTGACACCAGTACACAGAGTCTAGATCAGATAATTTTAGGAAGTATTTAGATGCTGTTAAGGAATTTTGTTTGACTGAAGACAAGTAAATTCGTTAATAAGGTAAGTGGATATTTCCTTTGTATAGTGAAAAGATGATTTTCCTTTTTTATGTTATTTCAATACTTGATTTAAAATGTAGTTTGTTGAGATTATATAGTTTTTGCTGGCTGCTCCTTTAACTTTTTAAGTGAATATAGATCAAATGTGTACATGGACAAAGTCAAGGGAGAGCACAATGCCTAATTTGTGCAATTCTCTGAATTTTTTTTAAGTGAAAATAGGTCGATGTGTACATGGATGCCGAGTTTGTGCAATTCTTTGACTTGCACAAACTCGGTGTCCATGTACCGCCAAAAATCGCCAAGGGGCACCCGTAAATATATTTTTACCATATATTATTACCAAAAAAAATTAAATGGTAATGAAATATTAAAAAGAACATATCAGATTAAAGAAAAAAAATAATACAACAATAAATAAATAAAAACAGAAAGAGCTCTAGTAAATTCCACAGATATAGAACGTAGGAAGATTTTCCCGCTTCTTGCGTCTTATTGACATGTTTGAAATGCCGCCATAAATGGCGCGCTATCTGCCATTTACAAGATGAAAAGAGAGGCGCTAAGAAAATTGGTTATATGCAAGTAAGCCGCATTTCAATAAGAAAATAATCTTTAAAATAATTTTCTTTAGTGAGAGATACAAAATTCATACTTATTTCATTGTTCACAATCGACGGCACTTCCACTTTTGAATCCGATATACCAGCATTAATTTCTTTTTTAACTTCAGCCGTGTATTTATGATACGGAAACTGCAGCAAAGCATTGCAGTCCTCCAAACTCAAGTGTTCTTCCGTGTTTACATCATTACTGTTTTCTTCCGACATGGCTTTAACTTTGTAAACATAAATGTATTTCACACTTTACCCACCACTACACTCTCTAAAATCAAATACAACATCATAACATAAAGTTGAGATGTTTGCCGTGTGTTCGAGACCACAGAAGTTTCTCGAATACAAATAATAGCTTCAAGCCCAAGGCGTTTGACTTCCGGAGTACCTTTGCAAATTAATGCAATTACCTCCACAACTTCGATAAGAAAACTGAAATAATTAAGAAAAAGCAATGGTTAAAGGGAAATGAACGAAACCGTTAAGTGTTTACGGAGAGAGAAGTGAATAAGGAGTCCACACTAGGGACGAAAAATTTTAGTCAACAGGATACTAAGCCGACAGTGACGTTTAACTGGCACGTACCCAATAATTATTTAAACTTACTATCAATTACAAAATTTCTCGACTTCTCCATAAGTTCATTATTTAAGTTATTTTTTCACCTATCAGTAAAATTCATTTTTCGATTATTATAGATCTCACATGTGCTTTTAATTTTTAATTATTGTGTTAGCATTGTTTGATATGTATCGTGCTGTTTGGTATATATTGGCCAAACTGGAAAAGCGCTGAAATTTCTCGTCAGGGAATATGAATTAAATTTCGGTAATACCTTTACGTTTCATTACTATTTTACTCAATACATCATGTTACATTCTTTTCTTTACAAAATCGTTTCGCTCCTCCCACAAATAAAATTTCCCTTCCCTGTCATGAAAATCTAAATAATGCAATAAAAATGTTATCTTGAATTATAACTTTTTATTAGAAAACTATGGTGGTGGTAAAGGGTTAGTTTCGAAATATATATTATTTTGTTATTAGAAAAAATTTAAAAAAGTGCATCAAGACAAGCAAAGGTATAAATTATTGACCTCTATAATGGGCTGTTCATGCCACCATATTTGAGATAAAAATTCTGTAACATTTTATTGATCACGCCTCTCTCTTAAAATACTTGGGTTAATGTTTATAGCACTAAACTGGTGCATTATGTTTCATTTTGAAGTAAAATATTCTTTAAGGTTTTATTTCATTCATAACTGAATTCTGTTCTCAAAAACTACAATTTTCACTCTTCATACATCGAAAACGTTGCTGATATGAAATTCTGGACGTTGGCGAAGCAAAGCGAGACATCCTGAAAAGTCACCTTAATGTAATGCCATCTATCAAAGCTAGATTTAACTAAATCAGTCATGTAACTAGATAATATTATGTACTCTGTTTTGAAAGTCGCGATGCGTAATTTTCAATATAATGTGTTATATTGTGTCATGTTTTTCTCATAAAATGTAACTTTCTCAGTATCTGTTAAAAATGTATAAATTTTCATTTCACTTTTCATTAACATTAACTTTTTTTTTCTCTTTCATTCCTTCTCTTTCTCGTTTCTGTTGTAGCTACCTGGTAATAGGGAAATTTTTGGTGTCTATTTTCCTGAATGCATTTATAAAGTTCTAGCCTAAAAAGGCAATTTTATTGGAAGAGACTGGTTATATATTAAGTAAAACGGTTACTCTATTTATGTTAGGCCCAGCAGCGGCTGAGCGGTAAAGTCACTGAACACTGGCAGTTCGGTCCGAATTTCGAATCCCGCGAACGGACAGTCTGCACGGGTGTTTCCCCATGTGTAACTTGTATACGAGCTAGTTTTCCTTAGAAAGTCCTCCACGAGTGCATCCCTCCCATTAGGCAAATAGCTCTCTGGCTTAGCTGTAATTACATAAACCAAACCTACTTCTGTTCGCAGGCCATGAGGTAGGAATTCCCATGCCGGAGTACTATCCCATATTAATAAATATGCGATGCCTAACCTGTAATTGTATAGAGTGTAAATAGCATTTTAGATTTATAAAAAGTAGTTCCAGTGTGGCGAGCAGTAGGGCGAATCACTCAACTTCCTGACAGGGAAAGGAAATTTCCTTAGTGGGAGGAGCGAAATGGCTTTATACGGGAATGAATGTAGTGTGATGTGTTGAGCAAAGTAGTAATGAAATGTGAAAGTATTAGAAATTTAAAACCATTGGGAAGAGTGAGACTCATTGTCGGCTTAATGTCATATCAGCTAACTGTCCTGTCGGCTAAGTGTCCTTGTCGGCTAAGTGTCCGTGTCGGCTAAATGTCTAACTAAATTAGCCAACCAATTAGCCAACACGGACAGCTAACTGTCCGTGTTGGCTAATTGGTGTCGGTAAAATGGTTGTCAGCTAAGTGTCCGCGACCGAATAAAATGCACTGGAAGGTTATACATAATATTCATTTCAATTAGCCCAGAATTATAAATCTGCTATGATCAGTTTCCAGAACAAAAATAGTGAACATTTTATTAAGTTGTATTAAAAAGTCGTTATTATAAAGAAAAGGCTGCAAATTGGGTTTCTGATTTAAATCAAGATTGTAATTTTAAAATCTAAATTAACTTTTTTAAATCAATATTTTTATAAAATGTGTAACTTAAGTTAGTATTAATTATTAGAATATTGTTGCAAGTTGTAGAAGTTATATATTGTATTTTACAGAAAGTGGTACTAGTACACACATAAAAACCATGATTAAGAGCAAATAAAGTACAAAAAATGAGACCTATGTAACATATTGTGTGGAAATTAGTTGTCTGAAGATCTTTTGACTTGATAAATTGAAGGTCCTTGTTATTACTAGTTCATTTCATTACATTTAAATTTTATTAGATAAAATTAAACAGACAATTCTTAGCTTCTAAAAAGTTATAATTTTATTTTAAATTGCATAACTACGCAAATACAAACACTCAACGTTACAAATATTTTAAAATTGCCCTCTAGAAGCTATATTCAAACGACAAGTATTTAACAAAGTAATGAACATATTTCACAATTATAAACACTGCTCATGTAATTTTCTCACTTTTATCATAGAAACTGTTTTATATTAATAATAACATAGTGATTAAAAAAATTGAATTTACAATAAGTTTATTAAAAATATAATTATTGTATAATACAATAAGTTTATTAAAAATTATATCTGATTAATTTTTCTAGAAGTGCGAAGACCTGTATGACTGAGAAATGACTATAGCTAAGCTAATTAAAAGGATGATGGAAAATATAATTTTTGAACCAGAGAATATTCATGCAGATAAAAAAATTTCTAGTTGTTCCGAAAAAATTAATACACAGGGCTAGTTAAAATTAAGAAGATTTACACAATACATATAATTACATAAACATTATAAACATTAAGAATTGACTAACGGTATTTAATGGAATTATAAAATAGCAGTTTATTTTACATTTACCGAATAAAATCTTATTAGATTTCATATACAATTCAAGGTTAAAAACGTGCCATTTTTCAAAATAGTAAAATTAATTAAAGTTGCATTTAAAATTTGTACATACAATTTAAAATTTGTTCATGGAAAATTCATTCACTCCAAAAAATCCAAATGCAACCATGATTTTTTAAATTAGAACAGCATATAAATGCTATTTAGAAAGTGTAATGAAATATGTACATTTTATCACAAATTCTTGAAAAGAATACAATATGATATGTATCTCTCTTTGTGTTATATATATATTAATTTACTACCTTTATTTTACAGCAATAGGTCCAAAAACACACAAAATTACTTTATGCACAAAGTAAAGAAATAAAACAACAATAATATCATAGACTAGGAAATATTTCGAGTACACATACAATATATACATACATTAAATACAATATCTACATACTTATCAAACAAGTACGAGGAGATAAAAATGAAATGAAGAACGTAAGTTTAACTTTTCCATTTCAATTTATACTTCATATATATATATATTTGTAAATTTAAGATAATTTTATTAATGTCTGAATCTTGCACTTTTTAGACACAGATTCAAAATTGTCTTTTTGAATTTCATCATTTTTTTTTTTTTTTTCTTACAAAAATTTTTTAATAAAATATTTGTTGAAGGCCAATAATTTTGAAATTAAAATTTCTGAAGAATGACTTGAAGGACATTACTGATTCTAAGATATATTCTTTAGAACTTAATATGCTGATGTAATTTTAAACACAAGTGATCTTTGATTCTGGACTTCACAAAATCCACTTTGTGGTCAGGTGATAAAATTTTGGATTATAATGTAATTGTAAAACAATCTGAATAACTTCTCGGAAGGATATTTTAGATTTTCTCTACAGGTTTCTTATGAGAAATATTTTTCGCAAATGTCTATAGTTTATATGGCCATTATTTGATAACATTCAGAACATTTTATTTTTTTATTAGCTGCATACCATTTTCAGGAAGGCAAAGACCAGCAGTACAGCTAACTTTGAGAATATTCTGAGCCATGAAATCATCCCGGACGATTTGTTCATCCGACCTTATGCTGCACACTCAATTAGGCAAGCCAATAATTAAGTGTTACTCGTCAGTACTCCGTATGCATCTTTCCACATCATCTCTTCTGACAAGGATTCCAATCTAGATTTCGACCAATCACAGTGAAGTGCTACGAGCACAGGCTACGAGCATCTTACGGACTTTGGAGTAATTACCTCTGGACTTGGTTCTTGGTTGGACCAGTGTTGCAAATAGCTCGCGTCAGCTCCTGAGCCCAGGCGAAAAATTGCGCCGTAACCCCCTTTTCTCCTTGTTATTTCTCCCCTCAAAGGAAACTCAATCAGGAATTTTCTATTACCAGGCTCCGCATGGAACTCCTTGTATGACTGAGAAGTATTGTTCCGGCAATAGAAACCCAGTACAATACAGTATATCGCAGTATCGCCGTCTCCAACATATACCACGTGACTTAGGTCGTGGCGCTTTTGGGGAGTGATAGCTTAGGATGTTCATCGCCAGTTTGGCGATCTTTTGATATGGCAGGTAGTGTTTTTTATTTCCGTTTGCTGGCAGACAACGACCTCGTGTTATTCGATTTTTTACAATTATTTTTAGATATAACTTAACCCCTGAATATTTTTATCTATATTTTTAATAATTGCTTTAAATTATTTGCACATTTGTTTAAGATGTTTAGGTTGA